GGCATCGTAACACACTCAGACACATCATCAAAAACCACATTAATGGACTCCATGACTACTTCAGTTCGCAAATTATAAACACGATAAGCACGACTGTTAGTAGAATATCCAAGGAATTGACCCACATCACTTTTAGATTCAAATTTACCAAGATGATCTCTGTCATTGTAAATATAGCACCGACACCCAAATATATGAAAATACTTCACATTAGGTGCTTTACCTTTCCACAATTCATAAGAAGTCAGCCCGGTTCCTTTCCTGCAAAACACACGGTTAGTTATGTAGCAAGCAGTATTGACCGCCTCGGCCCACCATCTCAAGGACATATTCTGGGAAACAAGCATCACTCTTGCCATTTCCTGAAGAGTTCTATTCTTACGCTCCACGACTCCATTCTGCTGTGGAGTGATTGGAGATGAAAACTGATGAAAAATCCCACGAGATTCACAAAAGAGTTCAAAACCACGGTTCTCGAACTCCTTACCGTGATCGCTTCTAATGGCAACAAGATTGGTCCGTTTTTCATTCTCAAGTTTCAGCACAAGTCTTTTAAAAGCATCAAGAGCATCAGATTTATCTTTTAAGAAATCAACCCAAGAGAATCTAGAGTAATCATCCACACACACAAGAATATACTTCTTACCACTGTAGCTTTCGACTTGAATCGGTCCCATCAAGTCCATGTGAATCAGTTCCATTATCTGGTTCGTACTGATTTCAGTCAACTTTTTGTGAGACGCCCTTTTCTGTTTGCCCATTTGACAAGATCCACACACCCGTGGTATTTCCCTTTTCAGCTTGGGCAATCCTCGAACAGCCCCTGTAGAAGAAAGTTCAAGTAAGTGAGGATAATTAATGTGCCCCAACTTTTGATGCCATAGTTCAGTCATATCAGTACTGGTTTTATTACACTTCAAATCAAATTCCACTAGATAACAATTATCCCTAGATCTAGTACCAGTAAGAACATGTTTGTTTTCTTGATCAGACACACGACACTGAGTTTTAGTAAAGTTCACATACAGACCCTGATCACACAATTGACTAATACTCAGAAGATTTGCCTTCAAGTTTTGAACCAAAAGAACATTTTTAAGTTTAGGCAGACCAGGAACATTCAGACACCCTACTCCAAGAACCTTGTTCTTGGCTCCATCACCAAAAGTTACTGAACTAGATGAAACAGGCACAATATCAATCAAGTTGGATTTTGTCCCTGTCATGTGACGAGAGCAGCCACTATCAAAGTACCAGTCAGAATTGGAAGTGGATTTTAAGGCAAATATAGAAGACAGACAGACGTTCTTATTTACCTTTGGAACCCAGATCTTTTTCTGTTCATGATTCACTATATCAATTTTGAGTTTAGGTGCTTTCAAGGGAACACCGTGAGGACTCCAGTCATTAATTTGACCCGTATATATATCATTGTGCATTCTGTAGCACTTGGGACGGATGTGACCTCGAATCCCACAATAGTGACAAACGGGTACAAAGTTCTTACCTGAATCTTTGTGAGATGCTTTTGGGGAGTTTGGCTTACCCTTTTTGGAGTCAAGTGAGTACCCCTCTTTAACAAAAGTCAGACCTGACTTCCTTAGTGGGATGTCTGATTCTCCGACCTTCCCCTTCAGTTTCTGATTATGGAGGTTCTTACTCGAGTTGGATGAACCAATCTGTTGACTTAGTCTTTGAACTTCTGCATATGAGGTCTTGGGTTTATTGATCATCTTGACGACTTCCTCGCTTTTACCCAACTTCTCTTCAAGGGTAGAGCAATGACTTCTAAGTGTCATGTGTTCCTCCATTAATTTCCCGAGTTCCTCCTTGAGTACAGCTATCTCAGTTTCTCTCTCACCTGCAACATTTTGCAAAGCAAACAACTCGTTACGCAAGTTTTCAATAATAAAATTCAGCTCGTCACTTGCCTGCTTGTTGAGTTTATCCCCATGTTCAACCAAGGCAAGTTTTGCAAAACAACTATTTAAATCCTTATCCTGCTTTGCGGTATGGAGATCCGCTTTAATAAGCTTCTCGTTCAAATCGACTGTCATCATTCTCATCTTTTGAAGCTCGTCCCGAAGATAGTCAATCTCTTTTTCTCGCTCAACAGATCGTTGTTCCATAGCCTTCATCTTCTGTTTTTGTGCATGGTACTTATTGATGATGTCTCTTGCCTTGAGACACTTTTCAATGGCGTACTTGTGAAGCACAAGATTCTCGGCAGCTGGGTCCGAGAACTCATCAGAATCCACTTCGCTCAAGTTTTTCGCATAGGAACCTGCATCAGATTCAATATCAGTTAGGTGGACAGAGGAAGTAAAGCAGTTATATTCATTAAGAAGACATTTAGCAGAGTTGTTTGAGTAGATAGAATTCTCAGTTGTCTCAGGTTCTTTGTCCTCATCGTCACTGGAATCAGACCACGTAGCCTTGAATGTCTTGTTCTTCTTCTTGAAATTAGGGCATTCCTTTTGGAAATGTCCAAAGCCTTTGCATTCACGGCACTGATCCTTCTCTACTCCTTGATTAGAGTTCTGAACCTTGTTCAGCTGCAAACCAGAACGCTTTTCTCCGAATTGCTGAATTTGGTTCCTACCACCATCAAATGACCTATTACCCTGAAACCTTTTTCTCTGAAATTTCTTCAGTTTCGAGACATTTCTTGAGAGTACAGTAAGTGCCTTGGTGATTTCATCAGGATCAAAGGATTCCTCATCAGATTCTTCATCTTCAGCTGCTGAGGTGCGAACCTTGGCCTTCAACGCCAAGCCTTTCCCTTTGCTTATCCTCATAGAGTCAAAACCATGATTGATTTCGAAGGTGCGAAGTTCACTGAGGAGATCGTCAATGCCAAGTTTCTGAATCCTCTGGAAGCTCTCAAGTGCTGTGATCTTGATTCCAAACCTATCCGGCAGAGTTCTCATTAATTTCTGTACTTGTCTAGCCTCTGGAACCGGTTCACCAAGCATTGCACTTTGATTGACTAGGTCGCAGAACCGAGCATTGTACATATCAATAGTTTCATCCTCCCTCATACGAATTTCATCTAACTCGGTGGAGACTCTTTGAAGCTTTGAGGTTTTCACGGCATTTGTACCCTCAAATTGTCTTTCTAAAATCCTCCAGGCTTCTTGAGCGGTGGTGCATTGAATGATTATCTTATGACGCGTTGGGTCTACTGCAGACATGATGGCATACAAAGCACGAAAGTTCGCTTCTTCCGCTTGTTTTTCATCGTCAGTCCAAAGACTCCTTGGTTTTTCAACAAGAACTTGAGTGGAAGACATAGACGACTTTGAATCCGAAGGTTCACCTTGTTTAAATTCAGCGGGAGCTTTTGGCATAAGTGGTGTCGACCATCCTGATTCAACGGCCTGCCACGTGCCTTTACCAAGGGAACGAAGAAAAATTACCATCATGGATTTCCAATAAGCATAGTTTGCTCCATCAAGGAACGGGGGACGCGAAACAGACATTCCATCGTGACTCATGGTGACCAACACACAGTCCCAAAGATCTTTATCCCGTAGTAAGAACAGGAACACTGCTCTGATGCCAATTGAAACGTATATTTGTCACGGAGTGCGCGCGTAATAGTAAGAACAACAATAAGAATTGTAAAAACGCGGAAGCAAATAGCCGAAGATTAATAAACTCTTCAGGGAAGCGTCCCACTTCCCCTCAGAGCTCTTTCATTGATAGATCACTCGCATACATAGCTTGGACTTACAAAGATTCGAACTCCCTTCAAATCTAGCCAACACTACTTGATCCTATCAACTAATCCTCCGGCCACGTCCCGTGGACTTAT